CTCTGCTCCTATGATGCTGCTTGGCCTGCTGTGTTCATCCAGCCCTGCACCTTGTTGTCTCGGATTCTCCAGCATCTGCAGTTCCTACTATCTCTGATTCAATAGTAGGGAAACTGGTTGAGCCCATTATAAAAGATTTAATAGCAGAACACTTGGAAAATAGTGACAGGATTGGATAAAGTTAGCATTGATTTACAAAAGTGAAATCATACTTGAAAAATCTACGAGAGTTTTGAGGATGAAACTACCAGAGTTGATAAAGAGAAGCCAGTGGATGGGGTTTACTTGAATTTTCTGAAGGTTTTTGTTAATGATCCACATGAGAAGTTAGCATGTAAAATGAAAGCCTATGGGTTTGGGAGTAGTGTACTGACATGGAGAACTGGGTATGCCATGGAGAATGCTCAGGGAACCATGGCCCCCCTCACTTTTGATTATTTCAAAAACGCCTGGACATGTTCCCTTTTCCTACAAAGAACAGTTGCCTATGTATGATGATATATTGCATCTAGCAAATATAAGTGAGTTGCATTGTGAGCCTGAATGACAATCTTAAATTGGCTGATCGAGTGCTGTTCAGTTATAACCATATCTAATATTAGACGTTATGTTTTGAGTTTACAAGCAGGATCTGGCTGTGTGCAATCAGTATTGTCCCTATCCCAAACAGTGGAAGGGATGTGTTTTATACAGTCCGCCAATTGTTGAGGTATATGGCCTGAATAGCTGGTGTTGTACCAACATTGAAGTTTATATATTGAATGACTCATTTGCTACATCATGGTAGCATCATCAAATGCTAGCTTAATCTGTTGCTCATATCTTTGCAAAGCCTTACCCTTTCAGAGTAATTTGAAGTAAACTCAGCAACTTTTAGATCTGAAAGTGGCAGCCTTAGACGCATTTGTAAGTATGTCCATGCACCATGAAGAATGGTATGATTAAGGGTTCTGGACAGCTTTGTGATGTAATTTTGCATCAGTTTTGCACAGTGAGCAAATGACTGGTGCCCCATTGATGAGATTGCCAATCAGGTCAATCTTAAAGTATATGGAGCTGTAAGATTCCAAACACATGGATTGATCAGCGAAAGTAAGCTTGTGGTTGACAGTGATAAAGAATACATTATCAGATTTATCAAGTAGCATTTTAAGACAAAAGAGCTCATCGGACTGCTCCATTTCAAAGGTGAAGTTGAGCACAGGATGAAGCACATTAAGGTGTATAAGGAAATTCTTATATGCAGCTGAAGATTCAAATATTGTAAATGTACATATCATGCAAGTGGTAAGTAGTGAGAGTCAATCCATTGAAAACACATTTCTTGTGGAAAACACCAAACAAGTTAGTAACAGTTGAGCCTGGAGGATGTCCAATGGCTATACCATTTATTTAGGTAAAATGGTTTTATTAAAGTTAAACTCAACTCCACAAGTTGCTGAGTTCAAAGGTTCAATGATGGCAAATTCAGAACACGGCAGTCTGGATTGATACAGTGAGATGACGTAAATCTCCATGGTCTCCTTGAGTGACTCATTACACTTGCCAGTGTCGAACAAGCACAGAGAGAAGGAATTACTTTCAGATTGTACAAGGTATTTGTGAAGCTGAAGGAATCCTTTACCATATATATGGAAAAACCTGGTCAGAACTAATTATAACAACTTATTCAACCATTTGTCCAATTCATGTCGTGCAGACCAAGTTATAGATAAGTGTAATGGGAGTGTAACGGGACATCACTTTTGAGTGTCTTACACAGTTCCCACATGCATGGTCACAATAAACCGTAATAAAATTCCATTAGATACACACCACAAGGCAGCTTGTTACTCCCACATTATAACTTTTTTTTGAGCAGGGCTGTGCAGTCATGCACGACAATGGATCCATTGATACAATTGTCATTATAATTGTGCTTATTAAGGTTGATTATTCCAGTCCATTTGTCAGGCTTGCAAATATGGATGTATGCCTTGAGGCCGTGTGATGACACCAGATATTTGCACTGCATGTGGAGTCAGGATATTAGCACTACACATGCACTAGATTAGATCGGTGCACTTTCATAGGGCTCTGCATTTTCAAAGTAAAGGTAAAATCACTGTAGCCCCAGAGGATCATGGAGCTTCTGTCTCGACAGAGCGAGATGATTGGTGGTGGTTTAACTTGAGCATCAGTACACCTCAGGTGAAGGGGAGTCTTTCATGGTAACCTCAGCCAGTGTTGTCATTCAACCCATACTGTTAGCATCATTCTGTATATAACCAGTGCCCTTTTTTTTCTTTATATCCAGAAGTGCTTTTATGCACAACTGAGTGTTTTTTTCTTGCCGTCAGCAAATCAATAGTGATATTTTATCACCAATAAACCACCACAAGTAAATCATCCATATTTACTAATTGATTTAAGTTAAATGCAAAGCCCATTAATGGCAGTTCTGACCAACAAAGGTGAGGGACGAACCCAGTATCCAATCTTTCAGGCACCATAAGCAGTAAACATTTCATTAACAACATGAATGATGACACATTTCCGTAACTTAGGGAAATCACATTTCAGCTTGATTTTGCAAGAAATTTGAGCAGAACTTGCTAACCCAAAGATCCCGCATGAAAAACAAGGCACAAACAAACAAGTCTCCATATATTTTGCAATCAGCCTGTCTACTGATACTATTACCCCTCTCTGGAGCAGGTGGCACTTGAGTCCAGGCGCCCAAGTCCAGAGGTGGAGATACCACCATTGCACCACTGGAGCCCCTATAAACCAGTGTCCAGTGAAACATTCAATAAAAAACAGTTGTGGGGTTTAAATTCAGTCAATTAGATAAACAATGAATTAGATAGGCAGGCCTGTTAAAGGGGGTTAGGTGTGGAGGACATGTGGAGATCTGCCGTAATGGTGACTCTTGCCACAATTGGGCCTTCTGGTGGGGTGGGGGAGGGTGATGGAAGAGGTGAAATCTTCCTCCCAGTCAACAGATGAGTAGGATACACCAGTATTAACGTGATCAGACTCTTAATCTGCCACAGGTGCAACAACAGGCATCAGCTATTCCATGCAGTTGGGATGGTCTTGCCCTCTGATGACCCACCTGATTAAATACAATCCCCTATCTCCCAGCCTGGTCCCAGTTGGGGGAGTGGACATTAAATTCCACTGATGGTGTATATTTTAGGTACTAAGAACTCACATAAGAGACAATTAACACAACAGTGATTCTAGCTTTATAATAACAATTTTAATGAAGGTGTAAATATTTAGTTTGCAATGAACCGAGAAATAGAGAACTCAGGAACAAAATTAATGAGCCTTGAATAAGTTTACACTTCAAAAGTTCTTCATTTACATTGAATTACTTTACAATTTCTTAAAGTTTTAATAAATGCTTGTTACTTCATAACCACAAGGTTATCCCTGCAGAAGTTAGTCAAAGGAGGTTTTTGCAGTTGCTAATGTGTTATGTTACCTAAGTAAATGACAGTACGCTAAGCTGTTACTATTTCTCTATTTCATTTTAGCTGCAGTATTGAAATACGAGAACAATGTTATGAACATTCGGCAGTTCAACTGTTCTCCGCATCCTTACTGGCTACCAAATTTTATGGATGTCTTTACTTGGTCCTTGCCTTTTGTTGGTGAGAAAGGTAGGTGAACAAAGTTTTAAGCTTCAACTTAAAGGATGACAATTCTCAAGGCTACTGTATAGTTATGATCATTTCCAATGTCGATTTAGTCTACAAATGACATGGATTTAAATTTGCACTACTTTCAACATTGTGTTAGATTAATCCAAATTATATAAATTAAGTAATGTGTTCTTCTGAATTTTTAATGAAATAATTAATTAAGAATCCAATTTTATCATAATTAAAAAAAATTCTTCTGTAAATAGCGCAATGCAGATCTTAACCAGATTTAACTGCCAATAGCTGCAAAAAAGTGAGAATATTGTGTTGTATTCCTTCTTTATAATATTCTTATGGATAATCCCAAGATTGTTCTTTTTAAACTGGTGTGTAAAATATGCTTGAGCAAAGCTTAAATATTCACAGTATTTAATCTAATTAATTACATACCACAGGAAATGGCTTTATCATTCGGCAGCATGGTAATTGCTGGTATTAAATGGTCAATCATTTATGTTTGACTATACATTTGGAAAAATCAATTTATGTGGTAAAGCCTATTCTGTCTATCAACTATAGAAGGATGTTTTCTTTCATCTGTTGCTTTTATTCAAACTCGTTACATTAGAAATAACCATCCTCTAGCTCTGTAATCACAAGCTTTGTTAAATGTGTAAAGTATGTCTCCTTCCACCTTGAAAGGAAATGAATGTAAGTTTCTTTTTAAACACACAAAGAGAAAACTATCTAAAATTTAAGGGGATAGCTAAGCTTTCATTGAAACAAAATCATTCAAAGCAATCTAGTTGATGCTGCTTTTTAGAAAGGGGGTTGATTAGCTGGTTCATGATGCAGAGTGACATTAACAACATGAGTTCAATTCCTGCACCAGCTGAGGTTACTAGGAAATCTCTCCTTTTGTCTGAGGTGTGGTGACCCTCAAATTAAACCACCACCGGTTATCCGTATAGTTTATTACTAAGATTACCACATTGTAGCTTTTTATATTTTTTCTTGTAGCTTTATTATTTCACCAATTAGTTGTTAGAATTAGATCAAAGCATGTCGGAAACAGATTTTAATCAGACTGCCACCAAGGTCCTCGGTTAGATCATCACCACGGAAACAGAAAAAGCTTGTCCCAAGACCAAGTGGAAGATTCATGATTGAACAGATTTTTTTTTTCTGTATTTATGGCTTCTAGGGTATATCCGAGGAAGTTTGGATCATTTTAGGCTGAGCCAGGTCACTTTCCAGACAGTTATAAATACCAATGCAGTAAGTGCAAGGAAAGGCCCATGCCTGAAGCTAATGAACGTTTACAACAGATAATATGATTCTCAATTGTCCTTAGTAATTCCTATTCAATCAAGTAATATATTAATTCGCACTTATGTTTAAATAAAATCTTAACTTACAAATATGGAGCAAACATTAAATGATTGAAAAGACCATCCTGTAGAATTACAACATTTTTTGATGAACTAGATTCAAATTACATACATAAGGTGCCATGTCACACAAGTTTTGATTGATGTTCATATCTTACAATTCGTTTGATTGACTGTGCAAAACATAACCATTACTTCAAATGATTGAACAATACTGCAGTTTGTGATGATGAAGGTTTGACTTCCATTATTATGCAATTGAGGCAACAACATGGAAGTGCACAAGAACACCCTAAAGTGATGTATCCTACATCTTTCCTCTCTGATTTTCATTAGGCTCATCAGCAATTTTCCAATAAAGAAGTTGTGATCAAGATTCGGTGTATGATGGTCAAGATTCGCAAGGTTATGGCAGTGTTCTGAAATTTAATTTAATGTTTTCTTATTTCAGTGACAGAGATGTTGGTGAATGTTCTAAATATCTGCTCTGATGATGAACTCATGACAGATGGAGATGAGATATTTGATGGTACGGGTACTTTTTAAAATTTACAATATGTTGAATCATTAAGAAAAAGAGCTACTTTCATGTGGCTGACACTTTGTGAAGATTCTGGCCTGTGCATGATTCTTTAGAGAACACTTAAAATGAAGGGAATACCTCTGGCACTTAAGCTTAGTGAGCGAAATGATGGAGACAAAGGAGGAGGTGAATAGATAAGACTACAGTCAGAGGAAAAGCAATGTTGTGAAGATAAGACTTGAGACTAGAATAAGCTACAGAGATAATCAGATTTAATTAAGATTATAATTTTGAATTGGACACATGTTGCAGGTGTGTGTCCAGTATATATCAGCAATGATAGAGCTAATAGGTGAACAAGACTTGTGGCAACATATATTATGGACAGTTGAGTTTGGATGATCTCAGGATCATGATAAGTGGAAGATAGAAAGTCAGGACAGATATGTCTAGAGATAACAAATGCGTGAATGTGAATTTTATCAGATGGGCTGTGGGTGGGGCATGGTTGAAAAATGTAATGGATTGGAAAGTAGATAACATTTGTGATGGAAATGATGTGGTCAAATAAGATCCACACATATTGAGTTGGACATTACCAGCAATATGTGGTAACCCCATCCATGTAATGGATAATGTCACAAAGGTGCAGCATGTAAATTAGGAAGCAAAGAAGGCCAATGATAGATAAACTGCTGAAGTAATGGTGGAGTTGAAAGAAAAATCATTACTCAATGTGCTCTGGTTATAAATAGTTAAGGAATAGTGAAACCAAATTACAGCAGTCTCATTGAGCTAGGCAGTAGCAATGAGATAGTGGGGAAGGATCATATACATGATTATCTCAAAGGGTGACAGAGAGGTTTAGGATGGCTTAGTGTGTTTTGACGATCAAGGATGTAATCTGTACTTTATTTCGGGTAATTTTGATGCTGTGATTGAAGTGGAAACCTGAATTGAAAGTTTGCCATTTTGTTGTTTTTAAAAAAGTGAAGATTATTTAGCTTCTCTTTTCTAAACCAAATGCTGCTTTTTGTTCCAAGCAAATGCAGCTGCCGCTCGTAAAGAGGTCATCAGGAATAAAATTCGAGCCATTGGCAAAATGGCAAGAGTATTTTCTGTGCTCAGGTAAGAGTTTACGAAGCTTTTTATTTTTACGGACTTTTCAATTGGTCTTTTGTAATTACTCAAATTGTTTTCAATAATCCATAAGATGTGCATTCCAGCATTCATAGCATCATAGAATCCTTAAAGTGCAGAAAGAGGCCATTCGGCCCATCGAGTCATACCAACCCTACAAAGATCATCCCCACCCAGATCCAACCCAGATCACCATGTCCCCATTACCTCACATTTACCATGGCCAACCCATCTCATCTACACATCTCTGGATACTGCAGACAATTTACCATGGCCAATTCACCTAACCTGCGCATCCTTGGAATATGGGAGGAAACCCATGCAGACACGGGGAGAATGTCGAAACTCCACACAGTCAGCCAAGGCTGGAATCGAATCTGTGGCCCATGGTGCTGTGACATAGCAGTGAGGCACTGAGCCACCATGCCGCCTTGTAATTGTTTAAAGAACTTCAAAAACACAAAAAGATTAATTCACAAATTATCATTTAAAAATGTGTTCTACCAATTTAATAATTACTTCAAAATTAATACAATAGTTATTATTTATGTATCAATTTTGCTAATAATGTATAAAATCATGAAATTAATTAAATAATGTAAAATATTCCATTGATCATCCAAATTTATCTTGATAATTTTGCAAGAGGTAAGAAATGCACTTTTTGGATTTTAGCATGCAATTATTAATTTAAACTTATTCTTGACATAGATTGCTCAAAAGGCTCTTGCTTTAAAAACCTAACAACATACATCAATATTCTATGTGTATTCAGTATATGTGTATATTTATGTGTGTGTAATAAGCTGAACTCAGATGTGCAAACAATTATGGAAATTATAAAACAGGAGGAAGTTGTTCTCCCTACTGCACCCAGGGTTGACTTTTTAACTGAAGTCATTTACTACTTCTCTGTCATTTATCCATACTGATTTATATTTTTATTCTTCAAATGCTGATCTGATTCCATTTTAATTTTTATGTGTGGCAGAATATTAACTGCCAAGGGGAAGCTTGTTCTAGTATGGGCAACAAATTACAAATGACATAGAGTCAAGGACCCAATATGGTTCTGCCAGTTTGAAGTTTAACCAGCACACATTGGGAAGCATACACAAAACTGCCATGGTAATCAGTCATTTCTGTATGGAAATAGACAATTGATTGTGAATTGCACTGAGCATTCATAGGAAATATGAGCAGGAGTAGCTCATACAGCCCATCGAACCTGAAAGAGCTGGCAAGCAGTGTTGAACTTACCTGGGTCAGCAGGTGAGAGGACAGTGAGGCACTATTGATCGTTGAAACTGCCCTGCTTTTAAGCCTTTGAACAATGAAGCAAGATAACTGTTGGACTGTTATATGAAAGATTTGTGTTCTCACTACACAAATCTGCTTGCTAAAGATTTCACTGCTTCATGCAAAACTTCCAAATTTTCTAAGATAACAAGGTGTAGAGCTGGATGAACACAGCAGGCCAAGCAGCATCAGAGGAGCAGGAAGGCTGACGTTTCGGGTCTGGACCTTTCTTCAGAAATGGGGGAGGGAAAAGGGATTCTGAAATAAATAGAGAGAGAGGAGGAGGCGGATGGAAGATGGATAAAGAAGCAGATAGGTGGAGAGGAGACGGACAGGTTAAGGAGGCGGGGACGGAGCCAGTAAAGGTGAGTGTAGGTGGGAAGTTAGGATGGGGATTGGGTCAGTCCAGGGAAGACGGACAGGTCAAGGAGGCGGGCATGAGGCTGGTCGGTAGGAGGTGGGGGGGGGGGTTGAGGTGGGAGGAGTGGATAGGTGGGAGAAAGGACGGACAGGTTAGAGAGACGGGGACAAGCTGGGCTGGTTTTGGGATGCGGTCGGGGGTGGGGAGATTTTGAAGCTTGTGAAGTCCACATTGTTACCATTGGGCTGCAGGGCTCCCAAGCGGAATATGAGGTGCTGTTCCTGCAACCTTTGGGTGGCATCGTTGTGGCACTGGAGGAGGCCCAGGATGGACATGTCGTCCAAGGAGTGGGAGGGGGAGTTGAAGTGGTTTGTGACTGGGAGGTGCAGTCGTTTGTTGTGAACCGAGCGTAGGTGTTCCACAAAGCAGTCTCCAAGCCTCCGCTTGGTTTCCCCGATGTAAAGGAGGCCACATTGGGAACAGCGGATGCAGTATACCACACTAGCAGATGTGCTGGTGAACATCTGTTTGATGTGGAAGGTTTTCTTGGGGTCTGGGATGGGGGTGAGGGGGG